CTTTATGGGATGGCTTCTGGCCGCCCCTACCACACCTCTTTTTGCGTGTTGGGTGCTGATTATGTTATAATGTGCTTCAGGCACAGCAGTAACCCCAGTAGGTCGAGCTTGATGATTCTTCATCAACAGCTGGTTCTGCTTTTCAGCAAAAAGTAAACCAGAGATCAAATCCTAGAACTTGGTGAACTTCTGAGCTCTATATTGTTGCTGCATGACAATATTAGAAGCAGAGAAGGTCGTGTAGGTCTTCTCCAGGAGATCCTCTTCAGTCAAAGTTTCATTGCAAAACTTGAGAAGTGATCGAATTCGACAAACTTCAGAATTATATTCATTCACAGACTTAAAGTCTTGGAAGCGCAAGTGCTGCCAGTCATGTTTTGCTTCAGGCAAGAATATGTCCTTTTGGTGATCGAAACGATCATCCAAAACGACCTATAATGCACGTGGATCCTCCTCAGCAAGGTACTTAGTTTGCAGAGCGCCGTGGATATGTCTTTGGATGAAGATCATAGCAGTGGCTTTTTCAGCTTCGCCAACAGGTTTATCTGTTGCTTCTTCAATAACAAGACGCAAGTTCTTTACAATGAGGTAGAGCTTCACATCTTGGACCCACTTGAGGTAGTTCATTCCAGAGACCTCCAAAGCGGTGAAGTCGAGTTTGTTCAAATTCGACATGTTCCTATCATAAAATAGATGGACAAGATGTGATTAATGTAATGGAGAAAAATCAATCCATTCACATAGGAGTAGAACATAAGGTTCTAATAGACATGTATTGGTTTAATTTTGCATGAAAAACTTCAAGTTTTCAAACAAGGCATGTTTATAAGAAACTTCAAGTTTCAAAGTAATTATGAACTTCAGGTTCATATATTCCTGCAGGCAAACACAAATATATATGCAAACAAATATGCAACAAGTATATGCAAAAGTATTGTATAATTATAAAGGAATTATTTATTTGGACTTCGGGCCAAATTAAAGTGTGGGTGGAAAAATATAAAATTGTAACATCCTACATCGCCCAGGGGAGTGATCCTTAAATGTATATTCACATCCCTATCTAGCACAAGGCCTTTTGGGAGCTCACTGGCTTCGGGTTCCGTAGGAACTCCGAAGTTAAGCGAGAAGGAGGCTAGAGCACTCTTAGGATGGGTGACCCACTGGGAAGTTGCTCGTGAGTTCCAAAAAACAAAATCGTGAGGGAATGGTAAGCCCAAAGAGGACAATATCGTGCTACGGTGGTGGAGCGGGCCCGGGAAGTGATCCGCCCTGGGCCGGGATGTGACAAAAACCCATTAGGTCTAAAATAATTTAGACGAATAAAATTCGGGGTCAAAAAGAAAACACTAAGCCACGGGTGGCTTGAAGAAATTGTGCCATGAGACCTAGGCCTAAAAAAATGGGCTGTGATTGGGCTGCTGCAGGCAGACCCCAAATTTTTTATTTATTTATTTTTTTTCGCACAGGCTGGGCCGAGACATCGCAGAGCAGTAGCAAGCCCAAAGGGCGCTGATGCAGGCTGAATGATGGAGCCTCATAGGGCTCGGGTTGAGGAGAACTAGGACACCCCAACGATGCTAGGTGTTGGAGCGCGATAGGGTGGACGTCGGCGTCGCTTCAGGCGACTGTCCTTCGGGGGTTTATGGCATGGCGGAGCACGGGGAACCAACTAGGAACAGAGATTGGAGAAATCTCGACGTGATATCAAAACCCTAGAATTTCGATTGTTATTTCAAAAGAAAAAAATCGAATCGGAGACAAGAACTCGTCGGGGGCGACTGCAGGTCGTCGGGGGTAGTTGGGCATGGCTGCAGACCATGTTGTTCAACGATTTCATGGGTGGCGACGCCTTCTGGGCGTCGGGTCTCGGGGTTGGGCTTGGAGCCGTAGCTCCAAGATGGGTTCTCGGCTCGGGAAAGGATGGAGGTGGCCCATCATAGGCACTGGTTTTCTGGGAAGAGGAGAGCTGTAGGCTCTCGGTTTGGCGTGGAGCCCCATCTGCAGGATGGTGGTCATGGGTTCAAAAGAACCCTAGTCCCAATCACAAAAAAAATTCTCTTTTTTTTTTTCATTAATTCAATGAGATGCATATATAATTCAATGAATCACATATTTACTTTGATGCATATGCAAATAATAGTTTCAATGCATGTACATATGTAAGATTCAATTCATGGAAAATATCAAATTCACATAATTGCAGCAATTTTGGTTATGAGGCATACACAATTTATGTAGAATCTAAAATACATTAAACGTAAAGTTGGGTCATGCATCATGGTGAATGTTCATGCTATCAGGGCTTGCAAAATATCGAGTTAAAAGCCGTTGTTTTGAAAGAACCTGATTGCGTGATGATATGGATGAACTGGTTTGATGCAGAAAAAAATTCTCCAACGTCAGATTCCTAAGCGCAGCGGTAGGAGCGTGCTGATAACGTGTTGTGGTCTATTTTTATCTGACAAAGGGAGAGGGGCCGGCGGCACAGGAGATAGGGAAGATAGATGTGTGTTTGTAGAATTGTAGGGGAATGTGTGTGTTGTTATCTCTCCTACATTGTGCCTTTATTTATTGTAGTAAAGGGAGAGAAGATATTCCTTCTTCTCCAAGTAATATAAGTTGTAATAGGAAAGGATAACTAGAATCAAATCTAATCTAGGATTTACACAATCATACTTAAACTAGGAATGTTCACAACAATTAGTTGATTTATAGTATCTATTTTGCCTATGGGCTATTGCACAACAGACTGGTCATAAGCCACATAACCCTCTCTGTATAAACGAAATAGGATCCTATCTGCATCCTCAGAATTCTGGAGATCACTTTATCGTGTTTGTTCATCTGTCATCCTACGATTAAATATTATTTTGAATTTTTATTTAAAATTGAACACAAATAATGCTTGATAAAAACTGATCGCACGATATACGATAAACATACATAATAAAATATTTTCTAAAATCCTCATAGAGAGAATAAGAGAGAATCCTCGTCCTATACAAACATCCAAAACTCCAGATTAATTTATAGAATTTTTTTTGCAAAAAGTTGCTTAGAAATTTCGTGGGTCAGTTTTAGTTGGTGCCACAACTTTTACCTTTTTCCCTCCACTGGAAAAGACAGTCCTGATAAGAAACCTTTCTGCATTGCTTTAGAGACAATTATAATTGTTTAATCCCATTTATATAATGCCTATAGCTGGCAAAACACATTAGTCTAATCTTCTAGCAAAAAGCAGACAAAACATATGTTGGAAGAGGTCAATGCAAATTATGGAATGCATTTATCTTTGACATTGCTTTCTGTCTTTCTTATGGAAAACAATTACAAACCAGCAAAACCCTTCAAGCCTCCCCAAAGGCGTCATCAAGTTCCCTTTAATAATCCCTGCTCTATTGGAGAATCTTAGCTATTTTTAGTTGTGCATTATATGTTATGACAAGAAAGATAGACGTAAAGAGATATACAATTAGACATACGCCAGACTTTCTATGAGACAAAAATTTTGTACGTTTTTCTCATTCTATACATTTTTGTTTATTTTTGTCTTTTAAAGTAAAAAACAAAACATAAAAATTTAAAAGGAGAAGTATAATTTGGGAATCACTTTCCTTTGTTCATCATTTACGTGTTTTTGTTTTTTATTTTTTGTTTTTTGTTTTAATTCAAGGATGGATCTTCCCCTCTCACTACCTCATAAGTCTTAATCAAAAGTGTAATCAATTATTGACACCAACCTCACATGTTATTTGCCTAAAATTAATTAATTAATTAATAAACCATTGAAAAGAGAGACAACTCTCCAGGATAATTGCTTGCTTAACAGCAGGCTCTGATTTAAAAATCATAGTTTAAAATTTAAATTATGTTTAAGCCTTAACCCCATGGCATTATCAGCTCTACTTCCAAGACCTCCAAAGAAAATTAGTTCTCCTATTTGCTCCCATGCCCAAAATCCTGACCATAATTTGATGTCTTTTTCAACAAAATTTAAGAAAAAAAATACAAGATGGAAATTGTTAAATAATTAGCACTAGCTATTATCAACCCTGCCAAATTATCACGTTACGTGTGCCATTGGCAGTGCACAAACAAGGAACTGACGTAACTGATGACGCCAATGAGATGTGTGTTTCGGCTTAATATGCCTGCCTTCCGTTCTATAATATTGTTGGTTCTATAAATTATTAGGACTGATATTGGGATTAACTTCTAAGTCATTTTTTATTTTTAAACTTATTTTTATTTTTCACATACTTCTCTAAATTTCTGACAATCAGAAATTGAAGAATATTAATGACCAAACATTAGCAAAGCCGTGAGAAAAGTACAAAATAGATGTGTGAATAACACTATCCTTTTTAAACTCTAACATGAAATTTAAGGGCATCTCAATTGGGCTGCCTAGATGAGCCCCTAGCTCAATTTTAAAGAGGATTAGAAAAAACTCCATCTCCAACGCCCTATTCACCTCTTAAGATAGAGAGTCTCCCTGGAGGTCCAAAATATAGGAGTGAGAAAGAAGTTTCTAGCGTTAATTACTAATGTTTTAATAATATTTCAAATAAGAACGCTACCTATTGGTCCACAATCGTTATCTCTCTAATCTAGAGAGTATGATTGGAGTAAAACTTTTTAGGGAGCTACTAGAGTAACTTTTTAGTCATTTTAGTTACAAAAATAGAGAGCATAATTGGAAATGTTGTAAACACTAAATAATTAAAAACTCTTAAGACGTTAATATCCAAGATCTAAGATGATAATGTTCATAATTTTTGTTTATCTTACCCATCACAACATGGACACAGGAATTCGTTGTAGGAAATTTTTTACGATGCATGAAATAGGAATATTCGAGAGCATGAATCCGTTGTCGCCGGAAAATATTTCGCCTCACCAAACTTGACCATGGAAAAGAACAATGCACAAGTACGAAGAAATAATTGTTAGGGTGAAAAGATTGCAGATTTCGTCCGTTCTTTAAAGGTGATGGGTTTTTCCTTCTGAATTTTCGACATCTGCATGCCTGATGAATATGGTAGTGCAGTTAAACTGTACTTATACACCCATCATTTCCCAAAAAGTAAATGCACAAAGGAAACTTCTACCACGTACTGTCAAAAAAATAAAAAAAATTAAAAATTCACCCACACATCAGAAACCTCCTAACCCTCTCTCTCTCTCTCTCCACAAACTATCGAAATCTGAAAATCTCCATCCCATCCCTTCCTAACTTCTCCAGATCGTTTTGATTTTATTCACACAGTCAGCATCAGTAGTACATCATGACCTTTTCCTGTGTCTTGTCTTCATCCAACAAAAAGTTGTTGCAACTGCCTGTACTGCTAAGTAACTGCTTAATCTCTTCAAGTCCATAGTCTAATCGTGCTTGATCTTCCCACATCCCACCATTTCCACTGGAATTATTCTCCATAATTTTCTGCTCTCCTCCAAACCCAGTAAAACAATTATAATTTTTTAAACCCATGTGTAACTTCACCTCCCCATTAGTTGCACCACCGCGGCCGCTGCCACCGCCGCCATAAGCACCGCCATATTCATACTCTCTTTCTCTGATCTGATGATTGCTGTAACTCCCATCAGAAGAGCAGCAACTTGCTTCACCTCCAAATATCAAGATGTTTTCTTTGACTTGGTAATGCTGCTGATGCATGTGTCTCCCCACAAAGCTCTCTTGGGGGACTTGGAGTACAGAAGCAGCAGCAGTATTAGTAGAAGTGCTGCTCATGAGACTTTGTGAAAAAGAAATGGGCTCCAAAGTGTTGGTGAAAGACCTGGTTTGTGTGTAATAGCTAGTGCTGGTGTTGTTCCCTCGGTATGATGACGAGTGAGATTTTAGAAGCTGGGATGGGAGAATGCTTATGCCCATAAGCTTCTTTTTTAGCTTAGTGTTCCAGTAGTTTTTTATGTCATTGTCAGTCCGGCCTGGCAACTGAGCTGCTATAATTGACCACCTGCACATTGGTGTAATTTAGTACCGTAAAAAGAAATGTGACTGCATATGAAATTATCATAAAAGATCTAAACTTAGCATGCAAGGAAAGAACCCAAGAAATTAAAACATTATATTGTTGAATAATGCAAGAAAATTAAAGAACCCAAGAAATTAAAACATAAATTCAATAATTTAGATGCATGGCACAAATTCAGTCTGAAAGACTGCGTAATTACTACGCGCCTTAAACAATCTTTCATCCCTTATCGTAAGGTCATTGTCCTGAACCTACACGTCATGAATTTTTTCAGCATATAGCCCATACAATATTCTATGTAAGATGTAAAGTTACATTGATAACCCAGGTGAGGAAAATGTTAAAGAATTGAAGGGAAAAAAGGGGAAATTGTAGAGGAAAATGGGATTTGAAAAAAGAAGGGTACCTGCTTCCAATGTTAGTAAAGAGGTTGCAGATTATTTTATCTTCTTCATCAGAAAATTCACCATGTTTAATGTTGGGCCTGAGATAGTTTAGCCATCTTAATCTGCAACTCTTCCCACATCTCTTAAGACCTGCAGTTGCAAACCAAAAGGCAATTCAGTAATTGTCACAAACAAAATATAGGGATAATGGTTTAAAAAAAAAAAACCCATACAAATACATGTGATCAAAGTGACTACATGAATAAAAAAAAAAAACAACATACCAACTTTCTGTGGAAGAGCAATCCAATTCCCTCCAGTTCCATATCTTTCTATGTACTCTTTCAGCTTTGCATCTTCTTCAGGTGACCATGGTCCTTTCTTCACATTTGCCTTGTCACAGCAAGGAGCTCTCCCCATCTCTCTCTCTCTCTCTCTCTCTCTCTCTCTCTCTCTCTCTCAAATGCAAATAGGCTAGTGGTGAATACTTGTGTGTGGAAGTTAGCTGTCTAATTTTGCCTCTGTTTCAAGGAAGGAGAAGGACTTGGAAGAGAGATTATGGTGACTGCTGCTTTCTGGGGATATTATTTATTGAGAGAGAGCAGAAGTCAAAGGACAGCCTCTCTAATTTCAATCATCTCCTAACTTTTTCCAACTCTTTTTCCAACTCTTTGTGTTTGTTAGAAATTGAACCTACTAGGCCTAATAGCCTCTCGGAGAACTTTCCATCATAAAACTAATAGAATAATAGACCCTCTCGTCCCACTTCCCGGTCTAAACCTTACTTGGTCTCTTCCTCCTCCAACAACACAAAGAAAGCTTCAACAAGGTCTTATGTCATGAAACATATAAAATAAGAGAATCGCATTTACATTGTCTTTTATAATTTTTTTCACTTCTTTTTCTTTAATATTCAATGAAAATCAAAAGACCAAAAATTAAAGAAATGTGCACGTAAGGAGAAATAAGAATGTGAAAATCACTACTCTAACATTTAGTTTACATTGGTGCAATACTACTAAAGTATCCATATATGTTCTTCTAAACTTTTTTGTTCCTTTTGTAATACAGGCCAATGATGAGAGCATAGGCTTACGAGATTCAGTTTAAGGACGGAGCAAGAAACTATTTGATTCGAGCAACTACCTAATATTATTGTAGACCTTTTGTTAGAGGATAATTATGATTAATTGATTTTGGTGTGTGGTATTTTTTTTCCATCAACTGGGTTAAAAGCTCCAATGAGTCTTATAAATTGGTTATGTCATTCGCACACATCAAGTGATGTGTGAGCATTTGATATGATAGAACAAAATAACTAGTGTATAAACTACGTACCTAAACCCTTCGATAATGAAGTTGGTTGATTTGAGAAAAAAACTAGGGCTTGAAGAATGGAAAGAGAACGTTTGAAAATTTGGGATCCTTTGAACTGTGACCCAGTGAGGTGCATGCATGCATAAGGTTGATTTAATTTTCAATCAATTGGGTTTGGTCAATAATATGTGAGATATAAACAAAAATCAACTCTGTCGGAACAAAAATCAACTCTGTCGGTTTTAAGGGCAAAACATCAAGTCAAAATATAATTAGTTTCAAGTTACATGCATCAAGTATAAAAAGTGACATATCACTTGACTTATGAACCCATTTGTTTTCTTAATCTTACATGCAAATGTGCAAAGAAAATAGAGTCATGGTCACCAAATAATTTTAAGATTGAGAACCATGTACCAAATAATGAATGTTGGTCATAATTGGCATACTGCAACTAATGTCCTTGTAAGTGAGATGTCTTGAGTTTAATTTTCATCAAAGGTGAATTTGAATCACATTATTGCTAGCTCATTGTGGGGCTAAACTCACTTCCTCCCCTTAGTGTAGACAATGTTCAACAAAAAATAAATAAATAAAAATTATATGAACTCCAGTTGTCAAAAATTAGGAGTGAATTTCCTAATTTTTCATCAACAATAAGTCCCAGTGTGGTTAGACTTCCTTAGGTTAAAGAGCTTAGTCAACAAACCATGTTACATTTTGAATTAATTTAAGCGACTTTTGGTAATGTGATTCTTGGTCTTATCACGTTTTGTATATTTTAATCGATGTTCATACATAGCTAGGTATAGACAATTCAAACTTGTATCTCACTTAGATTGGTCCCAGAATTGTATGGTAAATATAGGAAGCTCGAGGTAAATAAAGTAAAAGCGAAACCTTTTCCAATGCTAGAAAAGGAGGATACATTATGAACTTTAGGAAGGTTCTTTTTTTGGGTAATTGCTTCAACATCGTGCTTTAATTGGCTTCCATGGCGATTCTGTTACCCTTTAGGGCCTATAATATATGCTACGATCACTTACAAATGATGAATATATGCGTTTATTTTTAATGTCGTTCACTAGTACAAAAAAGACTTTGCGCGACGTAGGATCGTCGTCGTGCAAAGTCAAAAATACGTCGCCCAAAAATAACCCAAACGAACCTTCGTCGCGCAAGAACCGTCACGCGAAGGCAGTGAAGGAAGGGTTTGCGCCACGCAGTGCCCACCTACGTCGCTCAAAGCAACTTTGCGCGACGCAGAATCTACGTCGCTCAAAGTAGCTTTGCGCGACGTAGTTTCTGCGTCACGCAAAGTTGCTTTGAGCGACGTAGGTGGGCACTGTGTCGCGCAAAGTTTTTTTTTTTTTGTCATTTATATTTTTTTTTTAATTTTTAATAAATATTATAATTAAATTCTAAACAATAATTAATAAACCAAGAAAAAGTAATTAATTATAGAATATATGAAAATGTACGTTTGTCCAAACAAAAAAATAAAAAACTACAAGTCTTCTAAGTTTAATACATCATGCTACTCGGTATCGTCTGGGCGAAATGGCTGGGAAGTCGAAGGTGGAGCAACATTAGGTGCTGGCATCGTCGGGATTTGGAGGCCGGACATCGCTAAGGCCTGAACAATCATATTCATCCTCTTGTCCTGGGCCCTAATGTGGTCGCCCTGGCCGCAACCTGACCTCTTAGGGTTGTCACTTCCTCCTTCAAGGAATTGACCTCTCCTGTGGACAAACTGGAAGAAGAGGCACCCGTTTCACGAACCCCCACCTTCCCTGTACACCGAACAACCTTACCATGACGACGACTGAACTTTTGATCCAAGACCTTAGTCACGATCTGAGCATCTGCATCCTTGGGTACAATGACGTCCTCGATCGGGGTCTTTGGGGGAAGCTGCGATGTTGCTTCTTGGAGAATAGCATTGCTCTTTTCCACCATATCACCCTGTAATAATAAAGAAAAAACATATAATGTTTAATAACAAAATATAAATAATATTTGAACGATTCATAAAAATAAGAAAAATAACAATTACATATACTTACATAAAGCTGGTCATTGTTCTCATTGTTGGGATGAACGTAAACATGCTTGAACAGGTCAATCTGTGGGAACTTAGAACCCTCCTAAAGAAAAAAAAACATTAAGAAAATTTTATTAATCAATAATAAAAAATAAATTGTATAAAATTTCAAAATTAATATACTTTTACCTCACGTCGTGCCTCAACCCTATACGAAAAAGGCTTCGAACCGGAATGGTGGAGAAGTGTCTTTGAGTCCCGAGCTTTCTTGCCAACAGCAGATTTCTTCTGTTAAACATACAATATATATGTTAGTGCGACTATTTGAAAGAAATTATTAAAAAAAGCTTAAATAAAATAACAAAAACAATAAATTATTATTAAAGTATTATGTACATACCAAAAATTTTGGATCCGTAAAATGTGTGCAGAGCCACTCCCAATCCTCTCGCCGCTCCTTATACTCAAGTGGGCAACCCTGTAGGCGAGCAATCTCCGGAGATTCCCATAGCTGAAAATGCTTGTGAAGAGCGCTCTTCCAATCTTTGTACCGGCTTGCTAAGGTCTTCTCTAAGTAGGCACTGACCTCAGGGGATATGTCCTCCATTTCAAAAACGACCTACAAATATGAAAAACAAAATGACAAACAAAATGACCATGTATCAGAATAATTGACAATTATGAACAGAAGAAGAGTGTGCAAAATACATGACCAAATTATTCACCACAACAACACTCAGCTATCAGGTGCAAAACAATGAAATGCACCTGATTTCTCTTTCCCCCTACATTTTCTTAGCAACCAAACAGAAATTGAGAGAAAGATCTTGACTTTACTAATCAAGATGATGGCCCTGCACTAGTTTAAGCAGAGAAAGATGTTGACTTTGCTAAAAATTAATATACTAACCTCCAAATTGTCTCGCACCAGGGTCCTCGTCTCCTCGGGAATTTTTGCCCAACTCTCCCACCGCATAGGACAAAAATTCCTAATAATAAAACCACAGCAATTAACGACGCTGTTATGCTGCTGTGAGGTAACCGCTCCACGATGTCGCTCATCATACACAATTTTGATCAAGGAGGCAGACATACGTACAAGATGTAGCTCCTTCAACATTCGATTGGGCCCCCTGGTGTTTTTTTTAGCTGCCCAAAAAAACTTAAATGGTAAAAACCCTAAGCTTAAATTTGAACAGAAAATTCGGCAAAACCTCCCCTAATCATAAAAGTACCTTAAAACAGTAATTCACAACCCGCAACACATTTTCACAATCATAAAAGTAATAGTTTTGAAATGAAAAAAAATGCAACGTAGTGAGAATTAGAAAAAAAACTACCTAGTTAGGAGGCCCCATCCTCGATTCTGGAGGACGAGGAAGTGTGATCAGAAGGCTCCGGCTTGCGGCGGCGCCGGTGAGGCCGCCGTGCACTGAGAGGCTCAACTGACACTGATGACGTTGATGATACGGGCACCTGGGACGTCGTAGGAGTAGCCTCCGTAAGGGGTGTAGGCTCCCCAATCAATGGAGCACTCACGCCTGGAGCACTAGATGCTGATAATGCAGGAGCTGCATTGGACACACTCCGACGACGAGTGATCAACTGCGACATCTATACACTTTATGAACCATAAAAATATAACATTAGAAACTAATCATTTCTTGCATTTGAAACTAATAAAATAGCAACCAAAGTAATATAAGTAATTAGAGCAATAATATCAATACAAGAATATTTAAACTAATCCTTTCTTGCATCTGAACAAACCCTAAAAGAGAATCACTATAGAAGGATCAAATTAGTTAAACCGTGGCAGTATGTGTATTTTGTGAGCAAAAATGATAGATTTTTTCACTGATTTGTTCCACCTCATGAAAGGTTTAGAATAAACTTTACATGGGATATGTGGGTTATTCTAATTAGAACACGAGCAGGGCAGCCAATCTTCTCGAAACTGATAAAAAAGAGCAAAACATTCAACATATATATATAGCTATAACATAAAAGTTATTCTAATTAGAACACGAGCAGGGCAACCAATCTTCTCGAAACTGAATGTTTTGAGAAGCAAAAGTTTGCTACTAATTGAGATAATTTGATACCTTCTTCAATTGTTGAGTTGGTGCTCCCACACCAGATAGCCTCTCTAATCCTTGGAGGTGCAAAGGCCGGCCCTTGAAGAAACGAGGAGTTATGTCCAAGAGGAACTCCAAGAAGAGATGTGGATGCCACAGCTCCTCCTAAAGCACGCACAAGCTCTCCCTGCACAAAACCAAATAAAACCCAATGTACTAAAACCAATCCAAAGTCCAAGAATGTACCTACACAATCCCATAAACTAAAAAAACCCAATTCCGGGGTAGAGGAGGGCCTTCACTGCAGTAACAGGAAAGATTTCACTTGCAATCAGCTAATCAAGCAGGCCAACATGGGAGAGCGAAATGTTCGAACTCTTGGCTCAGGTGCGGGATAAAAGCTCATTACCCATTTCATGAGGACCCGAGGGCTCATATATATCATCATTTATAAAAAGATTATTACAACTGGCAAGTGACTGTTTGAGAGCTTGAATGCATCTTTGCCTACACGAATCTGAAAATAAAAAAGGGAATAAGAAGTCCTAAAAAGAATTTGAAGACATCAATATGTCAGATCTCTTGTTCCCAAACGCATTAACATTAACCATATTTAATAAAAGATAATGTGATACTATAGATGATACACATTGGTTAGTAGGAATAGGTTCGAAAAATCGAAAACCCAAAAAAATCGAACCGAAGCCAAAGAAAAACGGAATACCAAACCCACCCTATTGGCTAGCAGCTAGTAAAATTAGTTTGAGAATGATCAGAGTAATGTCACAACTGAGAAGCTCTGGTTGTAATTAAAAATAATTCCAAGAAGACCATAGGAGCCTAATTAACAAGCCAGATGAGATCGTTCAAATCGTACACCTGTCCTTCGATGGTAAACTATTCTCCATCGAGTTATGTTGATTGAATAATTCATTCCAAGTCCAAAAACCCACTCACACAATCACATAAACAAAAAATTAAACACAACCCAACAAGGAAAAAGCATACCTTGAGCTTTGCCGTCTCACTAATGAGAGTGAGAGAAGCATCTATAACTCGACTCCGTAATGACAACTATTAGCATACATAGAGAGAAATTCTTAAACCCTGAAATTCAGCTCATTTCCTAATAATTTATCCCAAATAAAAACCCTGATTCAATCCCCATTTCAAAATTAAAACCCTAATTCCCATTCACAAAGTTTTAAACCCTGAAATCCATCTCATGCCCTAGTATCCCAAATTAAAACCCTCAATTCTAAAATTCATCTCAATTCACAATCAAAATCCTTAATTTCACACTTCCATAATTTGTAATTAGACTTACTTTCAAGGAGAGAGACGAGCACGACGAAGGGGGTGGTGGCTACCCTTCGTTTAGAACGAGAGGGAGAGAGACAACCGACAATGGGGTTCGAGATTGGGGCGATTTGGGGTTCAAGATATGGGGTTCGAGCGTGATGAGCGAAAGGGAGGAAGGCTACGGGAGAGAGATGGCGTGATGAGCGAAGAGGAGGAAGGCTACGGAAGAGAGAGACCGAGTGAGAGAGAGAAAGAGAGAAGGGGTCTGGGAAGAGGAGGGCGTGGAGCGAAGGGGTCGGAATATTTTGTCCAAAATTATCAAAACTGGCGCTTATTTTTCACACATGCGCCAAAATTATCAAAACTTGCGCGACGAAGGTATACAATTCACGTCGCGCAAGGTATTTTTAATTTAAAAAAATAATTATAAAAATTACTGAAAATGTGGCTTTACTCATTTTAAATTTAATTTTTTTTTTACATAAAACTCACAATAATATATTTTTCTAATAAAAACTTGACTAATAAATTGGTAGCTACTTAATAAATATACATATCATTCAATTTCTTAAGTGTTATACGTAAAAAATAAATAAATTTAAATTTACTTAATAAATATATATACCATTTAACTTGATGCGATACGCATTGTACGAAACTAATTTCAACGATTCAACTGTCAAACTTGTTTGTATATGCATCGAGATCGCATACTCAAAAAATCGCAAAAAACAAACCTTCAGAGATCATGTAACGGGACAAAACTTTTCGACGGTTATAAACGAAAAATCACGATTTAACGGTAGTTTAAACTCCGATTTTGATGATTTTTTACAGTTACACCCCTTGATCCTACATGAATACAACGAATTGATTCGATCGTCAATTTAAAATATTTTACACAAGTGGATATCACAAAATCTTATGTTATACTTGATGAAAGTATAAATAAAATCCAAGTGTTAGGGAATCTAATGTTTTAATGAGATACACATTCTACGAAACTAGTTTTAATGATCCAACCGTCAAAGTTGTTTGTATATGCATTGAGATGGCATACGTAAAAAATCGCAAAAAATAAACCTTCAGAGATCATGTAACGGGACAAAACTTTTCGACGGTTATAAACGAAAAATCACGATTTAACGGTAGTTTAAACTCCGATTTTGATGATTTTTTACAGTTACACCCTTTGATCCTACATGAATACAACGAATTGATTCGATCGTCAATTTAAAATATTTTACACAAGTGGATATCACAAAATCTTATGTTATACTTGATGAAAGTATAAATAAAATCCAAGTGTTAGGGAATCTAACGTTTTAATGAGATACGCATTGTACGAAACTAGTTTCAACGATCCAACCGTCAAACTTGTTTGTATATGCGTCGAGATCGCATACGCCAAAAATCGCAAAAAAAAAAAACCTTCAAAGATCAAGTAACAGGACAAAATTTTTCAACGGTTATAAACGAAAAAATCATGATTTAACGGTTATTTTGACTCCGATTTTGATGATTTTTTACAGCTACACTCCTGGATTCTATATGAATATAAGGAACTGATTCAATCGTTAATTTAAAATATTTACACAAGTGGATACCACAAAGAAAAAGGCAATGCAAGAACCCCAAAAGAAAAAGAAAAAAAAAAAGCTTTGCACGACGTAGGTATACCTGGGTCGCGCAAAGTTTTGTGTGTTTTTTTTTTTTTTTTTTTTTACCTTTTTGCTCCTCCCTCTCCCTCTCCCTCTCCCTCTCCCTCTCCCCTGTACATGTTGTTGTTGGTTGTGCCATACGACGTCGTCTCCTACATATATATATATATATATATGATTGTTTTTACCATTTTTATTTTTTGGGTTTGTGAGAAAATCAAACAAAAAGCCTTCAAGTATGGTGCTTTTTGTGTATGGGGTCAGGTCTACAAGGTCTCCATCGGAGCTGCATGGGAACTTTCATGGTCATCCAACCGTCTCGTGATCCAAGTCCTTGATGATTCAACCGACCTTACAATCAAGGTATAAAGAATCTCATCCTTTCAATGGGTCATTTTCCTTTTAGTCCATTAGCAGAGCTCCAAGGATCTCAATGTGTGCGATTTTAGACCCAATTTCTGACATGGGGTTGTTCCAATGCGCAATGTCCGAGTGGGTTTTCAACAAAATTGACAAAAAAATTAATAAAAATTCATCTGAAATTGTTGCAGCAAATGGTGGAGCTGGAATGCCAGAGGTGGGCAAGCGAGGGCATAAACATAAGGTATCATATCTATTTCAATCTTGTTTCCCCCCGTATATTTATGATCGAGATAAAAAATTTCTTCGTTTCGTTTTGACAATTTCGATTACAATTTAGGGTTGATCAGCATTTTTTTGGGTGAATTATGGGTTATGTGGGATCATTTAGGTTTGTGCATGTTGTTTAATTACTTCTTAATTTGTTTCAAGTTTTGAATTTGCATCGATTTTATCTGAGCAACAATCTATCGCTAAATTAGATCAAGTTAACTAAGCAGTTTGCAGTTTCTTAGCTTTTGTTTCCCTAAACCAATCAAAATCCTTCATACTCCTAGTCATTCATTCTACTCATTCAATTGTTCAAAACCAAAACTCAACTTGTTAAAAATAAGCATTAACAAAGACACAACATTAAGTTGCTTGAATGCAAAACTCAGAAGTGCAAATTCTAGAAAATAATTAAAGAAAAACATAAATACACAAAAATAAAAAAATCCGAACATAAATGTAATCAATAAATAGTTAATTAATTAATCAAATAAATACAATACCTGAAGGTGAAGATGGTGAAGGTTGAGAGAGCTAGAGATTCTGAAAGAGAGAGGTTAAATGTGAAGAAAAAGGCCCTTGTTGAGAGAGCTAGAAAATAGCTTTGCGCGACGCAGGTACAACTACGTCGCGCAAAGTTGTTTTGCGCGACGTAGGTGCACTTGCGTCACGCAAAGTTGGGAAAAAAAGCGGTAAAGCATTTCGGTTTGGCGCCAAAATCTTACGCGACGTAGCCTATGTCGCTCAAAGTGGCTTTACGCGACGTAACTTTGCGCGACTAAGTTTGCGTCGCGCAAAACAGCTTTGAGCAACGTAGCCTACGTCGTTCAAAGTTCCGTCGCGCAAAGCCACTTTGCCCGACGTAGGGTGTTTAGCGTCGCGCAAAAATACTTTGCGCGACGAAATTTTCTTTGTCGCGCAAACATGTTTTTGTACTAGTAATAATGGTAACTGTTCAAGAGGCTTGGGAATTAGGCATCAATATGAAGTCAAATGTTAGAAGAAAGATGTTTTTTTTTTTTTTTTGTAAAATTAATTAGTAATACAAGAATAGTCCAATTCTTTATAAACACATGCATGATTTTTTTTTAATGAAGAATTTACTCTCAACACACACCTTCACATGTGACGAATTTTTAAGCCTAATACATCAAATCAAATTGGGTGATGGAAGTATGTTTGACCCTTGAATTTCACATGCAGGGCAACATGCTTTGATACTATGAAGAAAGTTGAGGTTTCACCATAAAACCAATTTGCAATATAGGAAGTAATTCACACTCAACAAATGTAAGTGGAACTATAGTAGTTTCATGCCACATTGGTTAACTAGGCGATGTGTTAAAATCGATTCTTTTATGGGTCTTTTGATTTAGACCTAGTCAATAGTGTTAATTGTGAAAAACTACTTAGTACTACGGTTTAGTGGTATTCTTCTTCACTCATAAGTGAGAGGTCTTAAGTTTGATATTTGCCAAAGGTAAATTTGAACCACATTATTGCTGACCCATTATAAGGCTTAACCCATTCTTTCATCCCTTTAATGTAGATAATTTTGTTTGTTAAAAAAAAAAGTGAAAAAAACCTACCTGTCTGCACTAATAAATATAATCCACTCAAGCAACCAGACGATGACAATAATACTGGTGGATTTGAGGTGATTGTAAGGGAAAACAGGGGGATTTTGTGGCAGCTCTCTCAGGTAGGCATGTGGACGTGATTTCGCTATTGCAAGCAGAGTTGATTGTTGCAACAAGGGCTGACATGTTTGTACAGGAGTTGTGAGCTATTAAAGCAGAATTTGAAGGAGATTCTATCATTGCAATAGCTGTTTTGCAACAACAAAGTGATGATAGCTCTAATTTGGGGCCAATAATTAACGTTATTCGTTTATTCCCTCAAATTTTCTTTCAATCCGAACTCAGTCATGTTAAACGACAAGCAAATTAGGCAGCAAATAGGCTTGCAAGTGACTTGGAGAGCAACATGAGGTGGCTTGGTTTGAGGAACAACCGAACATGAACACCAATAATTATTTCATAAAATTGTCAATTACTTTAATTTAAAGCTTAAATTTAGCTATGTCCCCTGGAATTCGATTTTAGTTTCACGTACTTTGCTCCCTGTAACTTAAAAGTCGGCACTTTACTTTCTGAAACTCAAAATTCACTTCACTTTTCATCTTGGAACTCAATTTTGACTCAGTTTGCCCCTTGAAACTTGAAAATCGTCTCTTTAATACTCAAAATCACTCCACATTGCCTTAGATATGTTAGTTTCTTAAGTGGGTTTGTTTTGGGTGAGCTAGGCTAATCAATTTCTTTTTTATTTTATTTTTCCATCTCTTCAATCTCTTTTAAACTTATGATTGTATGATTGTTGAATGTTGACGCATAATAGAGATTTATATTCAAATTTATTGCAATGTGACATAGTCTTATTGAGTGTTGAGTCACATATATGTTTTAGGAGGCGATCTATAAGTGTCAAGAAGATGAGAGAGTTCATAAGTCAAAGGGGAACAAATTTTAAGTTTCAAGATTTAAAGTGATGATTTTTTAAATTATAAAAGGTAAAGTGAGATTAAAATGAAATTTCAAATGGCGTAGCTAATAAGCCTTAATTTAATACTTAGAAAATTATCACGTTAACATCTTTGAATCAAAGGCATTCAATTTGACAATAACTAAGGAAAATAATATCAAAAAATTATTTGGAAAAAAAAATGTAACAAGCTAATAATATTAGTGGAATCAATTGCATATGATAAATGAGCAAATTATGTGCCTACTAGGGAGTAAAATAGGTAAGAGAGTTTCACCCCAGTTTTGTCTAAACCCTAATCTGATTCATCACCTTTAAAAAAGGAAAGTTTACCTACGCATTATGACTCGTTTGGATGTGCTTTTAAAATAGCTGAAAACACTTTTAGAGAAAATATTTTTGGGTTCCAAAAGCACTTTAAGTGAAGCACCAGTTATGTGCTTCTTCTAGGAAGCACTTTAAGTGCTTTTCCAGGATTTACTTATATTTTTACTAAGGATTGGTTCCAAAAACATTTTCACCAAAAGCGCTTTCAATTATTTTAAAAGCATATCCAAACGAGCCCTTAGTCAAAGAGTTTAATTTGAAGATGTACAAATTTTGGGTTTTCACTAAAATTATGCCTTCAAAATAGGGCTAAAATCAACTTTTCTATTTTTTAACAACTATATTCATTAAAACGACGGTCCCCGTCTGCCCCGCCTGCCAGCCCGATCTGAAGAATTCATGGGCCGGCAGGCGGACGAGACAGAATGGGCGGGCACTACTAACCAAGCCTAGTTCTCGACGATAGGTGCTGGTAGCTTGCTTCCAAGCCCTGCCTTATATAAAAGTTGTTTGTTGTCATGGCCCGAAGGAGCCTTAAGCACTTGTACAATGCTCAAGTAAAGGCTCTGGGCAACGAGTAGGATGGAGCCTTTACTTGAGCATTATATTAGTGAAGCGCGCCATATATATTGAGGGAGGAAATTGTAGAAATAGTTCCTCAATTTTAATTCAATTTAAGCAATAATCTCTCAACTAAAAATTCATGATCATTGGTTCCTTAACTCATCAAAACGTTTATCTATGAACATTTTCGTCATCTCTGTTATAATTTCCATCAAAACGAGTCTCCTATCACATACATGACGTTGAATCAAGGAGCAAATATTAAATGCCAAATGAAAAAAATTATAGCAATGGTCCTTCAATTTTAATTCAATTGGAAATGGTCCCTCCAAGTTAACTCAATTGGAGCAATGATCATTCAATTTTAATCCAATTGTAGCAATGGTCCTTCTAACATGAGTCATTTTAACGGAATTCTGATGGAGTTGACGAAAATGACCATAGTTCCACATTGTGATGAGTAAAATGATCAATGGTTATGAATTATTAGTTGAGGGACCATTGCTCCAATTGTGTTAAAGTTAAGGGATCATTGCTACAATTTTCTCAAACAAGTCATAGTATATCAAAGTCCTGCACAATACACGAATCTCAACATAATTGCAAAAATAATAACTCCAAAAGACTAAACTAAAATGGACAAAATTCCCGCAAACAATTAAAATCCACAACAGTAAAATCTAGCATAACACTTGCATGAGCCTACATTTCTCAGACCAACGATATGAAACCTAACGTTGAAGCCTGGCCACCACCACAAATCAAAGTTGTGCTACCATAAAACCCACATCATCTAGCCAAGAAGAACCTGTAGAACAAAAGGAAGATATGAAGATGAGTTAATCTGCAATGATCCAACTATTCATAATATAAACGTTGTATTATAGTCTACTTGCAAAGAAAAATCTCTCGTACATAGATAAGAGAAATAAGTACATATTAGTTGTCACACTATTAATTGCACTGTAAATTATCATAGTGATGGGTTTGCGGTGCATAGAGTTCATCTTGCAAAATTAAAAATTGCATTAAGACTTTAGTCTTAGTGTAACAAACAGTATAGCAATAATCGGCACATCGATCTCAACTCATCATTGCTCTAGTGTTCTTAATCTCACGCTATGAGGATATAACCGGATTATTCATCCTACACGTGAGACTCTTGAGCTTAAGGTTGAAATTACATGGGGTACAAGTTGTACTATACAACTACAAAACCATTTATACAATTGTCCAACGGGTAAACAATTATGCAAGTAAGAACTTAAATGGCTACGGATAAATAACTGAGGTTAACCATTCATCATAATCGTTATTATTTCCTAGTTACAACTACAAATCCATAAACACCATTATTGTCTAGAAAGTCAAAATATTATAAAAAAGATGAAAGAAAGAAGAATCCATTACCTTTTGATTAGTCCAATATTTTGGTGCTTAATTATATGTATAAATCTTTCAACTTTTTGGCAAAGATATCTGAAGTTTAGGCATTATATATGTTTGCCATGGTCATGCATGCAGGTTATATATGCAAACTGTGTATTTGACTATGACACTTGGAAATTAGAACCATGTGATATGTGCTTTAAAGTAATTTGAATTTGGACGCATTGCATTGCGTTGCATTATTATTGCTAGTTTTCTGTGACCAACTTTTTATGGATAAAACAAAAGAAAGCACAGTGATATGTTGACAAACCAGGCTTTCACATCTTTGTTTTTTTTTTTGTTGACTTTATTGAATTAAATACGAATGGTTACATTTGCATCTTCCACTAAAATATTAAAAAGAAATTCTGGACCTAACTCATTCCAACCAAATCTCCCGCCATGCTTAACGACGTGCACCGTCATTGAGTGAGCTGCACGATTGCATTGCTGAAGGGTAAAGCAGAACCTCACCAACTGAAACAAGCTCGCCATCCTCAAAATATCTTAGAGATAGACATCAAGAGTCACATCAGCCGTGACCTCCTTGTTGAGCATCTGAATAAATCCTTTTGAGTCCGATTCCACCACCAATCCAACTCATGGGTCCATCACCGCACTACCTAGGACCATCTCCATTCCCTACCTAATTGACTCCGCCTCCGTCATGATTGTAGCCGCAAACCTCCCTCCCCATCACCCCTCCCACAAGCTTAGGAATCCCCGCAAAGTCACGTAACACCGATCCCAACCCACCTATCTTTGAATCTTTCTACCAGGCAGCATCGCAATTCAATTTCAATATGCCAAATAGAGGTTTCGCCCAATGACGCCCCTCCCCCTAACTCCCCTCCTCACCCTAACCACCCACCCCTAACTCCTTACCACCACTGTAGCCTCCCTATACTCTTCCACTTGCTTTCTTCACAACTCCACCGCAGTATGTGTTAGAATTCGGGTCCCATTAAATACAGCTTCATTCCTACACTTTCAAATCCACCAAAAGCCAAACACTGATAGGAGCATATTTATGCGACTTAGTTGGCTTGTTCTTGTGCATTTATGTCGTGTTTCCTTAGTTATTTTAATGTTTAAAGTCATTTTCGTGTGTTTTCAGATTTTATGGACAAAGTAGGCAAGAAGATGCATTTTAGAGCATTTTGGAGCAAAATGGAGCTTGGAATGCATGTCACATGTTTGGGCCAAAGTGGATGGACGAATTTGAGAACTAAAGAGGCCAAGAATGTGAAGAATTATGGTCCAAAAGATGAAGAACTCAGCCCAAAAATTTGTCACCCCAACTTGCCTTCATTGCCATGCAAAACAACATAGAATTCCCTTTGGATTCCCATGCCATGCTTGATCACTCTTGTCCCCTACATAATTTCTGATTTCATGTTTCAATTCATTTAATTATTACACTTAATTGCTTGATACCTCTTGTTCCCTTCACCCACAAAATTTTATACAACTTTCACAACCATAACATGCACCAATTGATGCTCCATCATTCACATTTGGAATCCCATGCCTTGTGTACCACATGTTGCTGCACCTTTGACCCATTTATTGACACATTTTCACCTCCCTTTCCATCTCTATGCAATGTACACAATCATTCATGCCCCCTAGCTACAAGACCACTCCATTTTACCCTTCACACTTTGCATCATCACTTCATTTTCACCCTTGGATCATTGCACACCACATACACTCTTTGCCGTGCATTCTCCCTAGCCTAACCTGATTCTCTAAGGTTTTTGGGGCCTATATATACATGTTT